TCCAGAATTTATCAAGATGATACAATTATCTCGACCAGGCTATTTGCCACCAAACAGAAAAAATATAGGCGGAAAACTGCTGGATGAAGTATATGATACCGTAAAATCAAATATGGAAAATAATTTGAAAGGAAAAGTTGTTTGTATGGCTCTTGATGGTTGGAGTAACATACGTAATGACCCTATTGTGTGTGTTAGTGTGACCACTACTTAAAATGATGGTAGCGTTCACCTCATAGATACAATAGACACTTTTAGCAACAGTCACACTGGTAATTATTTCTTAATTACTCTACATTACTCTATACTATACTCACTATTTTACTTTTAAATGTAATTCTTTTGTTCTCTTTCTATTTTGTTTATAAGAAAATCTGAAAATCCGACGGCAACCCTCTCTTTCAATTTCAATTTAGATTAACCCCTTACCGCATACAACGCCATATATGGCTTCTGGCTTTGTTTATTTTTTTTAACATATTAAAATTATTATTTTTTCTAAACCAACTAAGAAAAAATATTATAGAATTCATCGTGAAACGGAACGCATTTTTTGTTGTCTATGGTAAGGTCTATCTGTCAACTTATTAGAGGTTATGTTCAGCAACTCCGACCGGTAAAGTGAATTTATTTAGTGCTGATTTTATTATTGGAAAAAAAGCAATAATATGGTAAGTAAAAAATGCTAATTTTTTAAAATGCTTTCATTGTACATTCATAAACATAAAATAACTCAGATTTCAGTGTTTTTTTGCATTTTGTTTGATTTTTCAATTGCCATATTTGGCTTCGTATGTGTTCAAGTCACATTCACTGTCTGTCATATATGGCTTCATATGCATTCAAAGTTTGCTTTCTTTTCTTTGTAGCAATGAATCCCTCACGCTTTTATGGTACATCCAAGCATTTCAATCCCATTCCCGGTGACGGCTGTCAGAGTGATGATGATCTAGTTTCTGACTCAGATCCTGAATATGAACCTGCATCCGTCCCTTCACGCCATACCCGTAAAAAAAATATTGTCATATCTGAATCGGATAGTTCCGATGATGATGAAATCACCACACAAAGCTTGCATGCTCCATCCACATCCACAGCAAAGGTAAAAAAAAAAACAAAAAAGACCCGGTAATTTGGAAAAACCAGAAAATGGAAGCTTATGATGCAGAAAACTTCAAATTTTCAGGAAATTCCGATCTGCCAGAAGAAATCATAAAGTTGGATTCACCTCAAGAAATTTTCAAGTTCTTGTTCACGGATGAGTTGATTGATATGATTGTTGAACAGTCCAACCTAAAATCTATTCAGGACAACGCTGATAAGCCAGCAAACATAACCAAAGAAGAGATTGAGCAATTCATTGGCATGGTAATTTTTATGTCTTGTGTAAAGTTGCCGTCAACGAGACTGTATTGATCAAAACATGTAGGCCAGCAGCAAGTTTATGAAATAATGACCTGTAACAGATTTGATGCGATTAAGAAGAATTTGCATTTCAATAATAACGAAAACCTTAAGCCCCGTGGCACAGATGGTCACGACAAACTCTTCAAAGTTAGACCATTGTTGGATAAGATTCGTGAACGTCTGCTGCTGGTTCCAAAAGAGGAGTACTTAGCCGTAGATGAGCAAATTATTCCCACCAAATGTCGTCATGAAATAAAGCAATACAATCCAGCAAAACCTCACAAATGGGGATATAAAAATCAGGTTCTGAGTGGTGTGTCAGGATTTAGCTACGACTTTGACATATTTGCTGGAGACCAAAGCAATACTTTTCCGTCAGATGCACCTGTTCTTGGAGTGAGTTCGAATGTTGTGACCAGACTTGCTTCCACGGTACCAAAACATCAAAACCATAAACTCTGTTTCGATAACTGGTTCAACAGTCCTAACCTGCAAGTTTATTTGTTTCAAAATGGTATATTGTCACTGGGAACTGTCAGGCTTAACCGCGTGCCGAACTCAAATATGCCTACTGAAAAGAATCTAAAAAAGAAGGGACGAGGAAGTATGGAAGAGAAGACAGCTGTCATAGACGGCGTGAAGCTGAGTTTAGTGTCCTGATTTGATAATAAAATCGTAAATATGCTCTCAGCTTACGTAGGCAGTGAACCGACAACAACAAAGCAGCGGTATGTTCGAAAAGAAAAACAGTACAAGAATATAACGTCGCCCCAAGCAGTCGATGTTTATAACCAACACATGGGTGGCGTCGATTTACTCGACTCTATGCTCGGTTATTACAGAATTCAACTGCGATCTCGGAAATGGTACAAAAGAATCTTTTTCCTCATGATTGATATGAGTTTAGTTAATGCCTGGTTATTATGGCGCCGAATTCATGGACTTGAATACCTGCCGCTGTTTGATTTCAAACTTGCAGTGTCGGAGCATATGCGCAAAGCTGGAAAGGTTATGGTGGCCAAAAAACGTGGTCGTCCAGCTGGCCTTCTTGGAACACCAACCTCAAGTCGAGCCATTACTCCCGCTAGCGATGTCAGTAGTCCAGCAAGTGCAGTGGCCAAAAATCGTGGTCGTCCAGCTAGTCTCCTTGGAACACCTACCTCAAGTCGAGCCGGTACTCCTACTAGCGAAGACGGTAGTCTAGCAAGCGCGGTGGCAAAAAAACGCGGACGTCCATCTTGCCTCAGGAGTCTCAACTTGCCTGAGACTTCAAGCCAAGGCAGCAATGAGTCTAGCTTGCCTGAGTCGCCATTGCCTTCCAAAAAGGCACGAAAAGCTCCAGCTAGACACCAAGAGTTACCTTTGGATTCTGTTCGAACAGATAACGTGGCCCATTACCCAGAATGGATGAAGTCAAATCGACAAATATGTCAAAACTGCTTAAAATACCGTTCCTTCACGAAATGTGGAAAATGTATGGTTTCTTTATGTTTCAATGACAAACGCAACTGTTTTCTGGAATTTCATAAAGTTTAATTGTTAATGCATACGAAGCCATATATGGCTTCATATCGTTTTGCTATAATGCATACGAAGCCATATATGGCTTCGTTGGCTATTTTCTTAACTATTATTACTTATTTTTTTTTTTCTCATCCTAACTTATTATATAAGGTAAAATAAAAGACATTTTCAGTAAAAAATTTTTTTTGTCTCCTTCATAATTCATGCAATAAGGGGTTAATAAGGCCATCAGCATAGATTCCCGAAAACCAGCAGGACTGTTGCAGACACCAGTTCCAGCACAACGCTTCGAGATTCTAGCTGTGGACTTATTCGGGCCCCTTCCCAAAAGACTTGATGGAAAGCGATGGGTGTTTATTGTGGAGGTTACTGCTGAAGCATGTGTCAAGGAAAATTTTCTACGTTTTGGAGTTCTCAGGCGTGTCATCTCTGATAACGGGGTCCAGTTCGTAGCTGACATCATGCAACATACCATGTGTTTACTTTAGGGGTACATCAAAACGTTTTTTCAACAAAAACTTAGTTTGATCTGATGCGAGGACGCTTAATCTGATCAAAAGGGGAAGTATGTATTGCGAACATCCCTAACGGTAACGTGGGCAGCATTATTAGAACCACGATAGAATAGCTAGCAATTAGTCACTCGCGAGGTGCCTCGTTTGAGTTCCTCATTTCGACAAAATGAGGGAGAACTCGTTTTTCAATTTTGAACCACCTCATTTAGCTCCTCACTTTTTGGGGCACAAATATTACACCTCACGGAACAGAATAGTGAGTTGTTTAGAATGAAAAGTCGACTCGACACTTACTCAATATAATTAGATTGAGGGAATTGGTTAAGTTTTTTGAGTTTGATGGAACGATTCAGGTTTGTTTATTTGTTTCTTCGCAAACACCTATAATTTTTTTATAGATAAATGATATTAATGAGTCTAGGTAAGAACCAAAGTGAATAAAAAACTTATCGGTTTTATTTAGAAATATATTTAGTTTATATTTATAGTTATATTTAGTTAGTCTTTCCTTTTTAAAATCGATTAATGAATAATAATTATTCGATTCGAATTATAAATGATTAATCGATTTAAATAATGGAATATTTGACACTATTGAAAATAAGTTGCGTATTGTGATCATTCTGTTAAATAAAAATCTAATAAAGTTTATTTCTTAGAATCTAAAGACAAAATATGTTTTGTTTAGCATTAGCAAAATATCGTAAAGAACGCAACCAATGCCAGGTTCTGTTTACCGGCATATGACGTTACATGTAAACAGGAATCTGTCATATGTTATTAGAGATACGCAAAATTTGTATTTATAGACACAATTTGTAGCTTATTTTTGTAAATAAAACCAGAGTATGTACAAATACCAACATTAAAATGTAACTTCAATTTCTCTTCTGTAATATTATTTATTTCTTTCGAAAATAAATAGTTGCCTTGACATATTTACCGGCGTGTGACGTCACAAATTCCACGTGATCAGTGCCATTACATAGAGCAGTGGATTTTGCGCGATTTTGGCTATTTAAACTTTAACACTTATTTTCATCGAAAATAGAACAAATTCCCATAAAATATATTGACAGTGTGTTTATAATGTATCAAACAACCATTTAAAATAATTTTCAGAAAAGTGCCAAATAACCTAACAAACACTTTTCTGAAAATCTTATCTTGTTTTTGAAAGATACGAGGGCAAGACGAACATACACTTACAAAATTTAACATCTGTCTTTATAAACCTATGATAGAAATATAGAATATTTAACCATTGCAACGAAATTACATAAATACAGGTCATACATAGATAGCCTCCCTTTTTTGAAATAGGTAAAAAATAATAGAGATTTCGGTTTTTAAAAGGAAATTTTATTTAAAAAATTCATTGCATGTTTGCATGCAAAAATAAAATCATGCGTACTTTATTACCCTGCAAACGATTGCGTCTATCTGTGATAACATGCTTTAGAAATAACTTTCGGACGGTGTCGACGTAGCTGGAATACAAAACTGTTTTTTGATTACATTATACAGTCGTGGATATATATGTTTTTTTGTGTTCTACCATAACAGACAATTATTAGATTTTCTGTTGATAAGAGGTTCGTCTAAATATTTATCCACTTCTATAATCACATCTATAATAGCACCCGAAACAGGATTCTGATTTTTAATCGTGTCCATAACTTTAACATCAAAATCATCCCAAATACTAGGGGTACCAGTCATTTCATTTTGCATGTTTTCTGTTGTGGAATCGGTTTCATCCGATATTTTAACAGTCTTAGCTAGATTTGTTAAGTTAGTTTTGGCTATAATGACGCTACTTTGTTTCTCTTCTGGAAACCCCATACTTTTTAAATCTTGGATCTAGAAGGGTACTTACTGCAAATAATTTATTGTCCTCAATATTTTTGAAACGTGTCGTTAGTTCTGTATGAAGTTTATATGACAATTTGGTTACTATTTCAGGAATACCTTCCTTGTTTATAAATGATGCACACTTATCTTTCAATAAATTCGCTAAAACGATAATTTGAGAGATTGTGACATGCTTTTCTGCGCTCATAATTTCTGTGACAGATTTAAAATATTTTAACAAGTCATAAATATTTGACAATACGTCTATATCTTCTGGAGTCAAATTTGGCCTATTGGAATATTCTGTAGCAATAGTTGTAATTACACTTTTTTTTACTGTAGAATCCTTTCAAACATATCATAGGTAGAGTTCCAACGCGTTATGATATCCTGTTTTAATTGTAACTGTTTCTCCTCTAACTGATTCTGAGTTGCTTTTAGGCGCCCACTTGCTAAAACGCTTCTTCGAAATAGCGCAACTATGGTTTTAACTTTTGACTGTATGTCTTTTATTTCAGTTAAAGCTGCTTGAACGATTAAATTTAATGTATGCGCGAAGCATGGTATTCATCTCCACCGGAACAAAGAAATATGTGCTTGTATATTTGAAGCATTATCTGCGGTAACTGCTACTATTTTGACGATAATTTGCCAGTCTTCGCGTATTTTTTTTATAAATCCGCCAAATTCTGAGCAGTATGTCTCTGCACCTCGGGAATACATTCTAGCATAAAAGATTTTGTATTGGTTTCACTATCTAAATAATGCGCTGTTACAGCAACATATTGCTCATGAAAACTCGACGTCCAAGCGTTAGATGTCAATGCAATGTATTCAGCCTGCTGAAGGTCTTTTTCAATATTTTTTTTTACAAAGTTGTAATATTTTTCGAGAAGACCATTACTTATAGTTTTCCTAGATGGTGCTGAATACGATGGACACAATTCATGTTCATAAAGAAGGCCTTAAATGATTCACTGTCAACAATGGAAAAAGGTAGATAATTTTTAACTAACATTTTGAGCAATAGTTTATTGTTAGTTTCCTGTTTTTTTAAAGATAATGGTTTGGGGAATTAACTGCCTATTTGGATATTTTTCTGTTTTTGAGATGTATGCGGTTCGTTATTATTTTGTTAATGTGTCTTTTAATGTTGATCCATTTTGACTGGCTGAAGTCGTTTGATTTTGTGGGGTAACTTCAGATGCAATCACAGCCGTATCACTCCCAGTACGAATTCTTATACCAAGGAACACAAGCGAATGGGACGATTTCAAATTTTAATGCATAATGTGCGTTTAGCTTTATTTTGCCCAAGGTCTGTAAAGAATTCCCAGGTTTTTGACCTCTTTACCGTTCGAACCATTTTATAATGTGTTTATATACATACAATGATCAGCAACCAATTTTTTTTTTTTAACATGAGTGAAATGCGTTACGCATACCCACCGGCTTGGGGGAACCGGTGGGTTATGTCGGAATCTCCAAAAAGGCCTACTGACTAAAACCACCCACGATGCTCCTACATCCCCGACAATCGGCGTCGCTATGGTACCGATTAACACCCACAGCTAGCCGGGCCGGTTGTCCGCCTTCTTCAGGCGAACACTCCTCTGGGAGACCACCCAATTCCCCCATGGGTGATTTTTTACAGAGGTTGTCTTCCTCGCGGTCCTAATGGACAGCAGCCCTCGACTCCACACCATGTGTGGAGTTACGAGTTGACCTCGCTGGCACGGCCGCTTCCCACGATACGCAGGGCGCCCGTCCAGCCCGAACCGCGCCGCCGCACACTGGGGCAAGATCAATGAAATCTATACAAAAACAAAATAAAAAAAAAAACCAAGCTAGCAGGTAGCTTTGCATGCCATAACATAGTGCAATAGCTGTGACACATCACTGTGGGGAGAGGGACGCCATTCCCCCGCCCCCCACTTTATACTGCACCGGTCAGTCCGACCCAATCGCTCGTGGTGTTTACATGTGAGATTCGTGCGTCAGGCAACTTCAAAGTGTTTTTTATTTTTTCAAAAATCAACCAGTTATAAACTAAAATAAAATATGGAGGCGTCAAGTTCAGGTATGTATAATATTATCTAAACCTTGATATGCGTATTTTCATACAAGTTTCTATTCATAATAGTAGAGTAAATATATGCTTAAGAAATTAAATTAAAATTAAAAACACAATAAAGTTACCAGTTATTTATTTATGTGCCGGGGCTGGTCGGGCTTACATTTAGATGTTTTTAGAAGCAGTAACTATTTTAGTTTATGATTTCATTTTAAGTTTTTGCCCATATTTGCCCCAATTGAAATAAATGTCTATATAAACTAGAAAGGTTCCCATACTAAAAATCAATAGTTTTTATTATTAAATATTTATTATATATTTTTTCCACAGGTACGGCATCTAATGCCTATTTTGTGACAAGACGTGACTTGCTCATGATCATGAAGAACTCTGGACACAACAAACTTGAAGATCAAATAAATTGTCTTCGAAAGGAAATCGAGAAAAGGACAGAATGTATCGGTGAATCTCAGAAAACTATTTTGCACACAATAAAACGTTTTAAATCTGAATATAAGTCAAGATGGGAAGCAGCAAAGCGTATAGAAAGTAGGTTTTGTGAGAAAAATACCACGTGGCTAGATTCGTCGATTTCTTTTCCAACAAATAAAAGGAAACGAAGCACTTCTGGTTCCGGTCGTCCAGCAATACCTTTCGAGGAAAGTACAGACAGAATGAAACGGCACAAGACTGAAGATTTGAGAAAATCTACCCCTCTGCCTGAGCTGATATATGCAACAAAAATGAAATTGAAAGCTTCGGGACAAGATGCAGCATCCAAAATAATTACCGATGTTTTATCGAGTCCATCAAAACCGAGGAAATATTCTAAAGCCTATCGACAATCTCTTGAAAGTGTTGCCATGACTGGAGAAGATGCTGTGGGTCTTTTAGTGGAAGCAAATTTATCTCGTTATCAATATAATGTATTAAGAACAAAATCTCCAAAAATATACCCGTCTTATAAGACCGTACAGGCTGCAAAAAAACAATGCTATCCGAATCAAAATAAAATTAGTGTTAGTGAAACTTCCGTCCACGTTGATCTGCAAGAAATGCTCGACCTTACTACAGAGCGTTTGATCTCTGTTCAAAGAGAAGTGTTGCTTACATTGGATAGTGACGAGCTACAAAATGTGACACTGATTTCAAAATGGGGATTCGATGGCAGTAGTGGCCATAGCGCCTACAAACAAGCTTTTTATGGGTCCGAAGCCAGTGATGCAGCTGTTTATAATAAGTTTTGTTCCTCTTCGGATGGCCTCTGGATCGAAGATTATTTGGCAAAACTCTAGACCAAGTTCAACGAGATAATGTAGACCTTTAAAAATAGAATTTGTCAAAGAAAGTACCACAGTTTCCGTAGAAGAAAAGAAAAGGATGGATGATCAAATAAAAAATCTTATTGCGAGTAACGTAACTCTAGATGGACAAAATATAAAAGTAAATCATTCTATGGTTTTTGCCATGATTGACGGGAAAGTTTTTAACGCGGTCACAAACACGACCTTAACACAAAAGTGCTATTTATGCGGAGCCACGTCCAAAGACTTCAATGATATAGAGAAAGTGCTTTCCAGACCAATTAATACCGAAAATTTGGGATTTGGAATTTCCGTGTTACACGGATAGATACGTTTCTTTGAGTGTCTTTTGCATTTGGCGTACAGACTTCCGATTGAAAAAAAACAGGCTCGGAAAAACAAGAAAAACTCTGAAGGAGTTTCAGACAAAGATATAGTCGAGGAAACAAAAAAAAAATTACAGGTTGCGTTCAAAGAAAGGCTAGGATTGATAGTAGACAAGCCAAAGCCAGGTTTCGGCAATTCTAATGACGGGAACACAGCGAGAAAGTTTATTCAAAATGCCGTTATATCCGCAGAAATAACCAATCTAGATGTGCGATTGATACAGAGAATGCATAATATATTAATTGCTGTCTGGCTATGAGATTGACGTGGAAAAATTCCGCACATATGCGACTGAAACTGCCAAATACTTTGTGCAAAAGTACCCATGGTATGATATGTCGCCCACAGTTCACAAGTTTTTTATTCATGGACCAGAAATTATCAAAAACGCACTATTGCCAATTGGACAATTAAGTGAAGAGACCCAAGAAGCACGAAATAAAGATTTCAAAAAATTCAGGGAACATCATTCTCAAAAACGTAGTCGGGAAAAATCTAACAGAGACATTTTTAACTTCTTTCTGTTATCTTCAGACCCAGTGATAACTAGTAAAAGGCAACTGCCAAAAAAGAAGATAACTTCACTTCCTAATGAAGTTCTTCAACTTATACTTGCTCCGGCTATACAGCCAAGTGAAGATTCTATTGATACTGATACACAAATTGATGACGATGATACTGATTGTAGCGAGGAAAGTGATTAGGGTAGTTAGAACATTAGTTGATCTAATATAGGAATAAATTTAAGTAGATACATTAACATAATTGTGTAAATACATATATAACAATATATAAATATAGTTGATTACAGGGATGTTGCGAACATTCGCATCCGCATCCGCAAATGCGGAACATCCGCATTGATTTGCGGATGCTCCGCATTTGCATCTGCATCCGCATCTGCATCCGCATCCGCATTAATCAATGCGGGTGTTCATGCGGATGCGAATATTATACAAGTAGCGACAAGAAAGAAATTGGGCGGGTCCGGTGATTGACGCGTGCCGGTCGCGCGTGACAATAACCAATGGGAACGAAGAAATTGGTGACAAGATTCGACAAGTTTGTTTGTTCTAGCTAGTGCATCATTTGTTTCTTGCAAATGAATAAATATTACGCGTTTGTTTGCGCTGTGAAGTGAAAGTGAACTACTTTATCGTATCATAAAGATAGATAGGTATTTTGAATGTTGTTGTGATACAGTGGTCATTGTGTGTAAATAAGAAGAGTTTATAAGATAACTTTATATTACTTAGACTAATATCCATAAGATCGCAAGGTAAATTCTATTATATTACACCGGTAATACGTTTTATTGTAGGAAAAATTATAGTTTTATGACGAAATTCGTTATTTTTCCAGTGTGATTCCCGTTATTGATATTTTATCTAACTAGTTAGTTAACAAACAATGTCACCACCGACCAAAAGTAATATATGGGATTATTTTGAACCAAATAAAGAAGACCAGGATAAAGCTAATTGTAAAATATGCAACAAAAGCTACTCTCGTAAGGGCCGTACCACATCGTTTTTGAAAAATCATCTTAAGTCGATGCATTCAGAAGAATTTTCTACATTTGAAAACGTTACTAAAGAAAAAAAATTACAACAGATGAAATCTGACGCAAGTAAGTTTCATCATTTATAGTTTTAATTAATTAATATTTACTTGAGGCATTGTTTAGTTACTATAATAAAAACATAGTTTTAGTTGTGGTTTATTGGTTAAGTTTCCACTCAATATTATAGTTATTTGCTGTAATATAACTCCGTCAGTTGTAAAAAGACTGACGTAATTCATTTATCTATTTGAAATACTTTTTTTTTTATTGAAATCGTTTCAATATAAAATAACCTGAACATAAATATATATTTTTTAATATGATATTAAAATATTAATAGTGAATTAACTCTAAAACTACTTGGCCGATTTCAAAAATTCTTTCACCATTGCAGTTTCAGCATTGTTTCAGCTACATTCACGCCATATTTAATGTTAATGTAAGAAAACATTAGGGATCCTTCCTTATTATTATAAATGTTAATAATGAATAAAATCTTTTTATTTATTTTTTTTGTAATATAAGTTGGACATTTGATTTTGAAAGTTATTTACAAAAATATAAAGAAAGGTTTTCTTTTATTTCGAAAATTTAAAGTGTCCTCACTTATTAATTACTTTTAAGTAAATAGTTTTTTATTACGAAAATTATTATTCATATGTATATTTTTTAGATAAAGTTACCACTCCTTTGCAAGAAGCAAAGAAACAACTTTCATTAGAAGAAGTAATTCTAAAAGAAAAGAAGTGGGACGTCAATAATTTAAATTCTAAAAAAATTGATAGCTCATTGGAGAAATGATTGCGCTTCAAAATTTACCGTTTAATTTTGTTGAAGGGCTGGGTTTTCGTAGATTGATGCAAGAATTAGCACCAAGATATAATTTTAGGGGACGCAATTTTTTTACAGATTTTGTATGCAAGGAATTATATAGCAAAGTGGCTCAAAAAGTTAAAGAATTAATCGAAAATTTTGATAACATGTCGCTTACGTCTGATATTTGGTCGGATCCAAGCTCAAACGCTTCTTTACTTAGCTTGACTTGCTATGGAATTGCAGAAAACTTTGATAGATCATCGATAATATTGAAATGTGAGACATTTGACGGCCGTCACACTGGTGACATAATTGCTGAAAAATTCAGTACCATGCTTTCTGAATGGAATATTAAAAAAAAACAACTGCATTGCCTAATCAGAGATGAAGGGTCTAATATGAAACGAGCCGGGCGATTAGCAGCATTGAATGATATAGACTGTACTGTTCACAAGATACAACTAGCTATCCGTAGTTGTTTAGGTTCACAAGAAAACATAAAAATACTAAAACAAAAATGTAAGAAAATTTCGACCCATTTCAATCACTCTACCATTGCCCAGAAACAACTACAATCAATTCAGGACAGACTGAATCAAACGCACCTGAAAGTGTTTCAAGATTGTATAACGCGATGGAACAGTACATTCTACATGTTCGAGCGTTTTTCAAAGGTAAAGGATGCTCTGAGTCTTTACACGAATGATAATGAAATTGACCC